AGCAGGGTCTCCCTGTAGCCCCAGCTGTCCTGGAACTTACTATGTAGACCAGGCTGGCCTTGAACTGACAGGGATCCACCTGCCTCTGCCTCCCAAGTGCTGGGACTACAGGCGTGCACCACCACGCCCAGCTAGGAAGGCATACTTTTTTAAAACAAATTATTTATTATTTTTATTTTATGTATCTGCATGTATTGCCTGCATGTAATGCCCGTGGAGGTCAGAAAGGGCTGTCGGATCCCCTGGGACTGGAGTTACAGGACAGTTGTTAGATACCATGTGGGTGCTGGGATTCGAACCTGGGTCTTCTGCAAGAACATTCAGTGTTCTTAACTGTTCAGTCATCTCTCCAGCCCCGAGTGTATTATCAGAGACTTTTTATGGTCTGTCACACCATCCTGCTTTCTATGTGACACCTTCAGAGACTGGGAACAGTTTCCTTAACCAAGCCAGACACTGGCAGTGTCCAGAAAGGAGCTGTGTGTATGAACACACTGAATGCTTCACCTGACAGATCTGCAGACACTCACATAGACCCACACAAACAGGCATTGTCTTTCCTCGCTCTTGCTTCTGTTTGTTCCTAGGTGTCTTAGGCATGTGTTTGGAGAGGGTATGAGGGCCTAGGTGAACATCCCCTTCGGGTGATAAGTGGCCAGAGACTCGCTGTAGGGCCACATCCCATTGGGCCAAGTATGTGCCTCTGGCCATCCTGGAGCTCACCAGCAGAGTATCCTTCCTTCTAGTCTGGTAGGACAGCTCTGCAGATCGGGGACAGCCTGAACACTGAGAAAGCCACGCTCATCGTCGTGCATACAGATGGGAGCATCGTGGAGACCACTGGGCTGAAGGGCCCAGCAGCCCCTCTTACCCCAGGTACAGCAGCACGTTTTTCAGGCTCTTGAGAGCATATTTACTTTTGTGGTAAATTTGGAAATTAAACAATAGATATTGATAGAAAAGGCAATAATTTCCAGGCAGAGGAATGCTGCCTACAATTGAAGTGGGGGTGTATCATTGTATTACCCTGTGGGGCTTTCATTGTGCACCTGGGAGGGGCCCAGTGGCTGGGGGTGAAACATTGGGGACTTCTCTGGTCACTCTGTGTGCCCATCCTTACGGCCTCTCCTTGCGCAGGTACTCAGTCCTTACAGCCTCTCCTTGTGCAGGTACACAGTCTCCTCCCACCCCGCTCGCACCTGGCCAGGAGAAAGGAGGCACCAAGTACAACTGGGACCCCTCAGTATATGACAGTGAGCTGCCAGTGCGCTGCCGGAACATCAGCGGCACGCTCTACAAGAGCAGGCTCGGCTCAGGTGAGGCTGCACTGGGTTGCCACCACTTCACTTTAAAGACTTTGTTCCTTTGTGGGACCCTGTTAATAAACTGGGGTCAAGGAAGGCTGTTATATACAAAAATAAGTTTAAAAATGCAGATGTGGGTGACACTCAGCCCTGGCCACTGGAGCCTAGGCCATGGAGGGCACAGGGCAGGGACAAGCCTAAGGATAAGTTCAGGGTCATAGTGACCTTGGATAAGAGAGGGCGTGGGAGAGAGGCAGGGCTTGGCCTTACTTCCCAGCTCAGTCAGCTCAGGTGGAGAAGGATCCCTGAAGTGGGCAGATGCTCAGCGGGGACCCAGTGCAGCTTGCAGCAACCATGGACAGTGGCTGGAGAAACTGAACAGGAGGATTTGAGGTGACTTACCAGGCAGCCTATTGGGTGACCATGAGGTAAGTAAGATCAGAAACCAGGCAGGGCAGAAAAGGGGAAACGGCCATGGAAGGGACTGAAGTCAGCAAGCCAGAAGCAAGCGACAGTCCCCGGTTTGTTCTAGTGACTGGCCACCTCTATTCCAGGTGGCCGGGGGCGATGCATCAAGCAGGGAGAAAACTGGTACAGTCCAACTGAGTTTGAAGCCATGGCAGGAAGAGCCAGCAGCAAGGACTGGAAGAGAAGCATCCGCTATGCGGGCCGACCCCTGCAGTGCCTCATCCAGGTGTGTGTTGGGACCAGCCAGCCTTAGGACTGTTTTTATAAAGATTTATTTACTGTTTTTGTTTTATGTGTATGAGTGTTTTGCTTGTATGTATGTAAGTACATCATATGTATGTAGTGCCCATGGAGGCCAGAAGAGGGCATCAGATCCCCTAGAACTGGAGTTACAGATGGTTGTGAGCCACCATGTGAGTGCTGGGAACAGAACCCAGGTCCTCTGCAAGAGCAGCCAGTGTTCTTAACCACTAAGCCATCTCTCCAGCTCCTGCCCCAGCTCCATTTTTCTTAGGAGGAGAGAAGACTCCTGATCCTTAGTTCAGGTCAGCTCCTGGTTGGGTGTGGCTGTGAACTCTTATTCCTAGGAGGAGGAAGTAGACCCTGCTGCCAGTAAGGGCTTTCTAGACCTTTCCAGACGTAACTGTATGTCATGCTCAGATTTTTGTCTTTGTGGTAGGTGGCTACAAAGTGAGGTTAGCTACAGTGAGCACTGAGTGACTCCAATCAGAGCCGGACTCCCTAATATATTGGCCACCTTCTATATTTCAGGACGGGATTTTAAACCCTCATGCTGCCTCGTGTACCTGTGCTGCCTGCTGTGATGACATGACCCTAGTAAGTCACTGGATGCCGAATGGTATGCTGGGGCAGCCCAAGACTCCCCTTGCTCCCGCCACTCTGTTTTGGTTTTTTTTTCAAATTTCCTGTCTGGGTAGGCCTGACCCTCCTTCTCTCAGCTTGTCCCTGATGCCCCAGCTACTGCCTCCACTGAATAGAGGGCTGTAGGGAAGTCCAGGACACTGAAGTGGGGAGACTGCCATTTCAGCCCCAAAGCAGCACGCATTTTTAAAGTGGTTACAGCAGAAGTGCACGTGCCACCTCCAGTTCTGTGCTTTTAGCACCATGTCCTAATGTCGAACCAGCCGTGCCTGGAACACAGGCCTGTCATCCCTACTTGGAGGCTGAAGCAAACCTGAAAATTCAAGGCCTGCCTGGGCAACTTAGTGAAACCCTGTCTCAAAAATTAATGTCCTTGAAGTAGCTCCTTTTCCTAATTTTTTTTTTTTTTTGGTCTTTTTGAGACAGGTCTCCTTGTAGCCCCAGCTGACCTGGAACTCGCTATGTAGACCAGATTGGCCTTGAACTCTCAGAGATCTGCTTGCCTTTGCCCCCTAAGTGCTGGGATTAAAGGTGTGCACTACTAAGCCCAGCTTCCTCTTTAAATTCTTAACTACTTCAGAAAGAAACATGATCTTTGTCATTGATTTTGCTTAATATTGCTAAGTAGCTTTCAAAAGTAAGACATTAATTTGTAACATATGGACATACTGCTTTTGTTTTAGCTTTCTTTAGTGTTAAAAATTATTTTTAAATGTCTTAAAATCAAAGTAGAAGCTGCCTACTATGATCTTGCTTTAGTTTTATTACTAATAGTTCATTACTAGGAGATAAAAATGAGAATTTTTAAGCCAGGTATAATAGCATATGGCTTTAATTCCAGCACTTGGGAGGCAGAGGCAGGCAGATTGCTTCAAGTTGGAGGCCAGTTTGGCTGTCCTGGAACTTTACTGGTCCTTCACTGGTCTGTGTAGCAAGTTCCAGGAGAGCCAAGGCTTAGTGAGGCCTTATCCCAAAAAGTCAGAGAAAGAGAAAAAGGAGGGACAAGTTTCTGGATTTTTTTTTTTTTTTTTTTTTGTCTTTTTGAAACAGGGTCTCCCTGTAGCCCCAGCTGTCCTGGAACTCTCTATGTAGACCAGGCTGGCCTTGAACTCACAGAGATCCGCCTGCCTCTGCCTCCCAAACCCTGGGATTAAAGGTGTGCGCTGCCACAATGTATCTTGATCACATCTGTCCCCAGTTCTCCCTGCCACTCCCCCAGCACCTTCGTGTCTTCTTTTTCAAATAACCCATTAAGTTCAGTTAGTGCTGTCACATGTGTGTGGGTGTGGGGTGGAAAGAAAGAAATTTTAATTGGAAACAGATGTATGTTTTTGGGTTTGAATACTAAATATCTTTAAGTTGTTTAATTTGGGGGCTGGAGAAATGGCTCAGCTGTTAAGAGCACATACTGTGCTTGCAGAGGACCTGGGTTCAGTTTCCAGCACTACAGTGGCTCACAACCACCTGTAACTTCAGTTCTAGGGGATCTGACACCCTCTTCTGGTGTCTGAGTGCAGTGCACACATGTGTTGTATATACATACATGTAGGGAAAACACTAATATACATGAAATATAGATAAATACAAACTCTAAAAATAAAATGTTTATATAGATTTAATATGATTCTACTGGGAATATAGATTTAATATGTTTCTACTGGGAAGAAGTTTCATGAAAATAAGGCAATTTTAAACATCACTAAGTCAGTCACAATGGCACATACCTTTGATCCCAGCACTCTGGAGGCAGAGGCATGCAGATCTCTGTGAAATGAGGACCAGCCTAGTCTACATAGCGAGTTCCAGTCCAGCTGGGGCTGCAGGGAGACTGTCTAAAAAAAAAACTCAAATTGGCAAGCTCACACTGTAGACACTGTAGGGCTGTAAGACCTCCTGTGTTGCTGAAATAATCAGGTCAAGTGGTGCTGTCCCTGGGCAAAGAATGAACTTTGATCCAAACTATATACTGTGTATAGAAGTGAATCCAAACTGCAGCAAAGATCTGAACGTGAGAGGAAAAGCTGTGACATTTTTAGAAAGAAACACGTGGGACTGTGTTCAGGACCTGAGGTTAGACCAGGAACCAGAGCCACAGTCCTTCAGGCCTGGGTTAGACCAGGAACCAGAGCCACGGTCCTTCAGGACCTGGGTTAGACCAGGAACCAGAGCCACGGTCCTTCAGGCCTGGGTTAGACCAGGAACCAGAGCCACAGTCCTTCAGGACCTGGGTTAGACCAGGAACCAGAGCTACAGTCCTTCAGGACCTGGGTTAGACCAGGAACCAGAGCCACAGTCTTTAAACACCAACATGTAGACTGGGACTTCACCAGATGTGAAGCTTTTGACTTCTACCTAGGGCTATGAAGTGCCCCATGGATCTGCTCCCCAAAACAGTAACTAGTGAACACTCTGGAAGAGAACTACTTGAGGTCTTGAGATTGGCCCCAGACATCCCACAGATCAGGAAACTCACCCATGAAGACCCAAGTCTGAAGGAAAGAAGAACAGCAAGAGGCATGGCCAGGTACCTCTTTCCAGCTTATCGTGAAGGAGGCTGTACTCCACCTGGGTCCTTCTCCCTCAGCTCCCAGTCAAGGAACAGGGTTCCCCACAGCAGGGGGAAGCCACAGCTGTGTTCACCTTCAGCTCTGGGTCATGATGACTTCCCAGCAAGTACTAGGGCAAGACTCCTTCCTTAGTCCCTCTGCATCAGGCTGGCTGAGTCTGTTGTCTAGTGTCTTTAGCCGAGCTTGCTCCTAGGGTGAGATTCCAAGTTGAGATGGGACCTGCCCCTGCCCTGGTTCTGGTCATACAGCAGGGCTGCACTCTGAGAGAGCGAGCTACCATTCCTCTAAGGAACTGGCTTTGTTTGCAAGACTATAGTGACATCCAAAGGCAAGAGTGAACTTGGGAACAGCAGGAAGACTAGTAGCCACATCAGAGCAAGATGCTGCCTTGCGTCAGCTAATATGTGAAAGAACCAGAAAAACAGCCTGCTTGGAACAAGAGCACTTTCTGGAGGTGCTGCCTTCAGAGAGCCCTTGCTTCACCTGCACAGACAAGGACAATTTATGCACCAGGAAAGTGTCAGGAAGCCCGAAGCCCTACAGCAGCTCTGCCAACAGGCACCCACTTAGCAGAGAAGCCAAGGACAGAGCCAACCAGCCATAGCCCCTCTATCACCCGATGTGGCTACATACCTAGGTTGGGTCCTCAGAGGTCACTACACTCTGTAGGAGAAGAAATCTGAACCAGCATGGTTTCCAACAAATAGGACGGCAAGAAGCTAGGGATGTCAGTGCCCACCACTGCTGCAGTATGTCACTCACAAGATCTGGTTCTCAACTAAGACCTGGAGAGAGGCAAGAAGTGTGGACCACATAGCACAACTGCAAACAAGAGCTACAGCCAGGAAACATACAGGTGTAGGTGCCAAGAAGCCACCTAAAGAAGAGGAGGCGGGCCGGGGGTGGCGCATGCCTTTAATCCCAGCACTCCAGGCCGAGACAGGCAGATCTCTGTGAGTTCGAGGCCAGCATGGTCTACATAGCGAGTTCCAGGCCAGCTGCAGCTACAGGGAGACCCTGTCTCAAAAAGACCAAAAAAGAGGGGGAGGGGCTAGACATGTAGTTCTGTTGATAGAGTGCCCATCATGTTTAAAGCCCCGGGTCCCCAGCACCACATAGATGGGTGGGGTGGCACCACACACACCTGTAATGTAGGACTGAGGAGGTGGTGGCAAGAGGACCAGGGGTTCAGTCACTCTTAGCTACACAGCAGGTTGAGGCCATGGGGCCTTGTCTCCTTGGGTTGGGTGGAGGCTTCTTTCTTGCTCAGCTGTTGGAGGCTGGGGCCACTTCTGTGGGTCTGTGGGGATTTGTGTGTGTGTGTGTGTAGTACTGGAATTGGGACTTACAGCATTTCATATCTGAGGTAAGCACTCTACTTCTGAGCTATATCCCTGTCTCCCCTTTTATGAAAATTTTTTTTCTCTTTTTTGTTTTTACTTTGTGTGTCCTAGTGTTTTGCCTGCATATTGTATGTAAGTGCACCTATGTCATGCAATGCCTGTGGAGGCCAGAAGAGGGTATCAGATCCCCTTGAACTGGAGTTATGAATGGTGTTAGCTGCCACACCTTGCCAACCTAGGTCCTTGGCAAGAGTAGCCAGTGCTCTTAACTGCTGGCTGAGCCATTTTTCCAGTCCCCTAAATTTTTTTTCCTTTTTATTTATTTTGTGTGTGAGTATGTGTGTGCACAGCACAGAGCACATATGGAAGTCAGAGGACAACTTGTGGAGTCAGTGCTTTCTTTTACCATGTGCATCTCAGGGACCAGATCCAGTTGTCAGGCTTGGCAGGAGGTACCTTTACCTGCTGGGTCTTGTTTTTTGTTGTTTTGTTTTGTTTTTATTTTATGTATCTGAGTATCTGTTTTGCCTGAATGTGTGTAAGTGCATCACATGCGTGCATTGCCCTCAGAGGCCAGAATAAGGCACCCTTGGAATTGGAGTTATGGAGGTTGGTAGCTGCTATTTGGATGCTATGAACTGAACCTGGGTTCTCTGCAAGAGCAGCCAGTGTGCCTAACCGTTCACCATCTCTCCTGCCCTTTTCTTTCCTTTTCTTTTTTGGGGGGTTGGTGTTTGAGACAGGGTCTCCTTGTAGCTCCATCTGTCCTGGTACTCACTGTGTAGACCAGGCTGGCCTCAGTCTCACAATCTGCCTGCCTCTACCTTCCAAGTGCTGGGATTAAAGGTGTGAGCCACCATGCCTGCCCAATTTTATTTATTTTTTTAATGTGTATGAGTGTTTTGCCTTCATGCATGTAAGTGTACCATGTTCCTGCTGAGACCAGAAGAGGGCATTACATCCCCTGGAACTGGAGGATGATTGTTAGCCACCATGTGGGTGCTAGGAACCAAACATGGGTCCCCTGGAAGAACAGCCAGTGCTCTTAAACCACTGATCCATCTCTCTAGCTCCTTGTTTTTGTTTTTTAAAGCAACATTTTTTTTTGGCCTTTTTTGAGATGAGGGTCTCCCCAGCTAGCCTAGAACTTGCTGTGTAGATCAGGCTAGCCTTAAAGTCACAGAGATCGACCTGCCTCTGCCTCTGGAGTTCTGGGATTAAAGGTATGTGCCACCATGCCCAGCTCTAAAAAACCATTTTAAAATACTTTATTATTATTTTGATTTTATGTGTATGAGTGTATTGCTTGCATGTATGTAAGTGCACTTGTGTTATGCAATGTCCATGGAGATCAGAAGAGTGTATTGAATTCCCTTGGAACTGGAGTTACGAATGGTTGGTAGCTGCCATGTGGGTGCTGGGTCAAACCCTGGTCCTCTGCTCTTAACCACCAAGCCATCTCTCTAGACCCCCTTGTTTGGTTTTTTGAGACAGGGTCTCACACTGAAATTCTGCCAGAACTTGAGCTCATGGCAGTTCTCCTGCCTCTGCCTTTCAGGTGCTGAGATTGCAGGCAGGCGCAGTGCTAGCTTCCCAGTGCTGCGTCCTCGTGGCTGCTGACAGCTCTGGGCGTGGTTCTCCATGTTCCCCTTCACTGGGTCCCACAGCCTTTCTTCTAGGAACTCCTAAGGCTCCAGGTGTTGAGCTGTTCTCGCTTGGTGGCAGTGTTGTCCATAAGCTCCTTTTGAAAGTGGCTTCTCTGCCACCTTGAGCTTCTACTGTCTGCTTTACTCATATACCCATTTGATAGGGAGTGGGAGACACCTGTCCTTCAGAAGTGCCCTTGCTCAACAGCTGTCTTTCTCTTTCAGAGTGGCCCTGTCAGGCTCTTCGTCCCTTATAAAAGGCGCAAAAAGGAGAACGAGCTGCCCACAACTCCAGTTAAGAAGGAATCCCCCAAGAATATCACACTGCTTCCTGCCACAGCAGCCACCACCTGTGAGTTCCAGCACAGTCAGTGGAGCTCTGCTGGGGTGTGGGGGGTTGTAAAGGAGAGGGCAGGAGGAGGGAAGTGATGAGGGAGGGGAGGGGAGAGGAAGGGGCATCTTGCCATTTCTCTCAAACTACAAAGCATTTTAAAAGCTCCTTTAAGTTTTATTTTCTGGCTGGGGAACACAGCTACCATAATCAAACTCTGAAGTATGGGTAGAGGCCTGAGTCCCATCCTGTCTGGCTCTCTCCCCTGGGTGCCAAGGTCACCAGCTTCCTGGTGTCATGCCATATATTGGGTATGTCATTATGCCAGCTTTGGCCCAGCTCCTGGGATTTTTCTGAAGCCTGCACCTTTTCAAGGAGCAATGCATGCTTGGGGCCCAGCACCTGACCTAGTCATATATAAAATTCCCTTCTGGGGCTGGAGAGATGGCTCAGCAGTTAAGAGTACTGACTGCTCTTTCAGAGGACCCAGGTTCAATTCCCAGCACCCACATGGCAACTACAAACCATCCTTAACTCCAGTTCCAGGGGAATCTGAAGCCCTCTTCTGACCTCCTCGGCATTGCACGACACGGGTGCACTCACACACATGCAGGCAATATACTCACACACAAAATAAAAATAATAAATAAAGTATTGAAAGAAAAAAGAGTACTGACTGCTCTTACAGAGGACCCGGGTTCGATTCCCAGCACCCACAT